TGTTATGCAGGATTGTATGAGTGGATATTGTTGCTAATTTTAGAAAATAAAGTGAATAGACTTTTCACAGTATATTAGTTTTCTAATCCTCTAATCTGACGGATTTCAGTTGTGATGATTCTGCCAATCCTTTTGGTTACCAAAGACATTTTTTCACATTTCTTGACTTTCTGCTTCTAATGCTAGACTGAGGAACTGTGCTTATTACATTTAGCAATTATCACTAGAATGCGGGATGAGGCATAGTGCCCACACGTGCATTCAGAGGATCTGATTTGAGCTCTAGGTTAAAATTATTGCGCTTGAAAACACTTTCATTCTTTAGTATAGTATATTGGCCAGATCATTTAGAAAAATGCGAGAAATATGTGCTTTGGTAGCAACCATATTTAACTATTATTTGTGTTGGTTACTATGAAGTAACTAATTTCTTATTTAATTGTTATTCATAGGAACTCTGAAGTCTGTCCTCATTACAGAAAGACGTAAATTGAACTTAACCTAAAACGCGGGCTTCAGTTTATGTTTGTAATGATATATTGAATAATACAAGCAAGTGTGTGAGACAACAACTTTTAAAGGTTTGATGATGAAGAAAGATTGGCGATTCCTGTAATACCAAAAATGATTTTCTAAATGTATTATAAGGATTCGTTGTTCTAGCAATCATACATTAGCACACAACGATCTTTAGAAAAAACATTTATACTAAAATATTGTTTAAGATTAAATCAATTGTTTGAATTCTAAGTTAAAAATCATATATAAATAAAAACATTCATCAGAAAAAAACAAAATGTATAACAAGTGAACAGATTATACTTCTGCTCTAAGAAAAGCAATACCAAGCTGATAGCGTGCATGATGCAGGTCCAACGCTAAGCGCCATACTTGCATCCTCATGTAAGAATATATGGGGCTTCCTTATTGGATCCTTTACGGACCACCACGAAAGTCTCCAAGAGAGCTAGGTGACACAGTTAAAATTTGTTAAAATTTTTTCTCTGTTGCTATTGTTCAATGTCCAGAAGTGCTCCAATAATATAAATAAATAAAAAATAAAAACTTACAGACAGTTTCTGTAATTGCTAAATCTATCTTTTCTTTTCTTCTTTTGGTTTCTTTTAGGGTGTGCGACTTGTTGTATATCCCATGGTTGAAATGCTCTCGGCCGGGGTTCTTTTCACAAAACAAAAAAGATTGCTTCCCAACTTGGGTTTGATGTAGTCGAATTCTAAATCGAATATATTATGACTATAATGTTTAAATTGTTTCACTATTTCTGAATGTATGTAGTCTGACTCTGGTGTATAGCGATGAACTTTTGATTCCAACTGATGTAAAGTCAACGTTGACTAATATGAAATTGAGACACTTGCACTGAGCTTGCTGAGAGCTTATATTAATTGAACACGTGTTCAACTTGGGACATATTGCTCCTCAACACACTTGAGGTACAGATGACTGAAGTTATTAGAACGTAGGAAGAATTGGCGTGGTTGCAATGAAGTGAGATACCAGTTGTTTGCGCTTGACGAAAAAAGAAAGTGACGGTTGCTGAGAGTATTAGGTGGGGCACAGCTGAATTACTAGTCTGAGCGATGATGCATAAAGTGCCTGTTGCTGTATTGGCTGAGATCAAGTGCTTGTCAATAAACGAGGACTGACAAAATACTTTATGAAATACACATACAAATATAGATTTCATAAGTACGCTTCAGTTAAAAATGAAAGTTGATGAGAATAATGTTTCAGTATCAATGCAAGATATATTTGGAATCCTCATAATTACTATGCATTTCATAATGAAAAACAGTTGAATAATTAATCTGGGATTGAACTGATGATGAAGTTGGATCATTTTTAACTTTATTTATTTTTATCAATTTCAAATGAGGCACAAATTAATTAACATATATTCCATTGAACTGCAATAAAAGATATTATTATGTACTCAGCGTGACTCAGTATAGAAAATTATGTCAAACACTTTAATTGTAGAAAAATAATTATTTTTGTTGAAATAACGATAGAAGAAACAATACAACGAATGGAACGAATTAACTCATTGAGTAACGGAGTTTTCGTTATTAGAAATAAGCATTAGAAAATAAAACAATTGTAATAATCACTGGAAGCAGAAAAAGGGGTCAAAAAATTACAAGAAGTTAAGAGGAAGAAGATATCAACAGATAAACAACTGGAAACATGGGCAACTGGTGTAATAGCAGCCTAAACCGAGTGGAATCAGCCAAGCAGGGTGAACAGGAGACAAAGACTTGGGGGAGGGGTATTTCAAAACAATTTGAAAACCGGAAAGTGCGAATTAGAAAATATTTTAAAAAATATAAAGATTCACAAGTAGCAGTAACAGTATGAAGCAAGTGTTGTTATTGAAAACATAAGAAGTACACGATTAAGGGAAAACACAGAGGGGAGATGCTAACAAAACATGGTGTAGCGGGCTGCCAATTCGAATTGGCTGGGTGTGTATTGTGGAACAGGGAGCCCAATTGATGGATGATATGTGAATGGTGGATAAGATCATGGACTAATGACATATTAGAGAATGTTGAATCCCAGTATTAGCCCGGTTGTACAGAATATTATTTGATGGGCAATGCATGCAAAATTGGTTACACCGAAAAATTGAGCCATCAAATAAAACATGGATAGAAGAGATATTAAAAAAAAAAATATTCTGTATTCAGTGTTGAGAGAGTTAATTTTACTGTGCATTACGGGAATATCTGTTGTGTTTTTGATTCTTACCTGCACATTTGCTCAAGTTCATGCCTGTTGTTAAGAACTGGCTCAAGATATGCTCAGCATGATCAGATAAAAATGGTAACTACCGATCAGACCGATCTCTTAGTTTCCCTCCTGACAACGACTGTTTGCATCTATATTATTATCTTGATGAGGGCCCTCTCATAAATGTTCAGATTAACTCTCTGTTATTGTGAACCAATGTCTTAAAATACTGCACTGCACTACTGTTTAAATCTCCAAAATTACTATTTTAAATATCTCTATTGGAATATGGACTCTCAATATTACCTTCATTTTATGGAAACAATAATTATGAGCTTGTAAATGCATTAGCAATGTAACTGAACAATTCTAGCCGAAATCAGTCATAACACAAAATAGGACTGCATCCTAATCCAAAGAAATAATACATCTTTTAATCACTGATCTATACTTGGAGGTTTATACTAAAAAAAATCTGCTATATTTAGGGAGCAAACCAAATATTTTGACTTATACCGAATGTGGCATCAGAGAACGTTTTTAACTATTATAAAAATATTCATTTGTCAAAATTTCTATAACAGATTCTAATATAAAAGAATATTATTACGTTATAAATTTCAAGTCCAATTTCTAGAAGCCAGGTTCACATTTTAAGATCTTATTGAGAATATCAATTTTTATGAGCTTACAAAGGGATATCCCATTGCTCTACATTATGCGCATCAACTATCTTCTCAAGTTATCAAGCTGCATGCATACCAGTAAAAGCAAAATCCAGTGATAAACTAGCTACCTCTGTCAAACATTGCCATGGACCCTCACTAGCCCATTAGTTCACACAGTTGCATCTGATGCCAACCGAATCATTCGCGATCACACTAGATCACAGAGCTCAAATCGTTTTGGTAAGTTTCTTAAAATCTGTCTTACATGATCCCAAACAATATCAGTTCCATCAGTGACTGAGACACTACGAGCACAGCAACCGAATGTCTTATGTCTCATTAGTGGTGGAAGTATCCAACCATGAGAGACGAGCAGAACCACAAGTTACTAAAAACCATATTAATTAATAACAATATACTAAATATTATAATTTTGGTGGCCTAGGGGCAAACAGGGACTTGGGGCAAATTATATAACAGAGCTCAGACGATGATACGCATTTGAGTCACGAGACCGAAGTCCCACTGTGTTTGTTGGCTTCTCAAACTACCATGCATTTCAACATTTCCGATCCAATCTTTGGCTGTCTCTATTCCCCCTCTGCTACATCCTTATACAGTGGAGCAAAGCAACCCATTGATTGTGATCGGCTAAAAATGACCTCTTCTCTTGTTTAGCGTCTTGAAATGATAGACTCATAATCAACCATTAATTAAGTCTTCACCATCAGATCTTAAGTTGATCATCCGGAGCACTAACAATATTCGGATAATTCATTTGCAACATTCAACGCCACATTAACAGTGTAATTTAATTTACTGTAAAAAACATAACATGTACCATACTGAGAAAGTGGGAGCTTTACAGGAAAGCCGCCATATAAAACACTACAGATAGTAGAGATTGTCACTTTTGCCTAAATCTTCTCTAAGCCTGACTTTTACGGAAATTATCTCTATTGTACCTGCTGTTGTTGCTTGTCTGTGCTGTGTGCTGCTTGTTGCTTGCTGTGTCTGCTGCGGTATAGTTCTGCTGCCGACTGCTTTGCACAACGGTTGTTTCCGATGCCAGAATAAACAGAACTGCTATGAGGAGCGCCTTTCGTTGGGAGCCATGACACAGCCGAGTTGAGTTCCAGAGTCAGAGTCGCAGTATAAGTGAACACTCAT